AAAGAAGTACAATAGGGCCACGATGACAAAGACAGAGACGCCTGCAATTGAGATGCCTGCGATAGCGCCCGCTGAAAGATCAATTTGGGTGTCGTTGTTCGTGAGGCCAGCACCGGGTGTCTTGGAAGTACTCTCCGGTGGGAAGGGCTCGCCAGGGTTGAGCATGTAACTGCTGTCAAGCGCCATTTTATGTCTGAATAATGTTGTACTCAGTCAGTGTATGTCTCACATGCAGTGCGTACCGAGAAACTTACTGTTGATCGATGCTCGTCGTGGTATTCGGATTAATAACGCCCACCATGCCATAGCCTATGCAAGACCCTGGTGCTGAGCAGTAGAAGAAAATGGGATCCCTGTTTTTGATTTCGATGCTGTAAGTCGGTGGGAAATCAAGGACAGAGTCGACGGGCTCGAAACCGCTGAAGAAACCAGTTTTACCCTGCCCCGTCATTTCGTATGGGATGCATGGGTAGCCGTATTCTGCGCGGACAACACTGTGATTTAGTGGATAGAAGGCAAACTCTATTATCTTTAGCAAGTTAGTAATTCCTCATCTGTTGATATGTGGACCGAGGCCCGATCGAGATGACGAATGAAACTTCTACTTACATCGCCTACACTGGCGTTTGTCGACTCAGGTCTGAACTTGTGATCCGCTAGACCGACTGAAATAGTGTGTGTCTGCGCAGCTGCAGAGCTCGTCGAGCTTGACGCGCTTGCTGTGCTCAAGGAGGCTGTAGGACTGTCACTGCTGAGGCCATCGCTGCCTTGCGCTAGACATATCGAAGGAAGAAGACCGAACAGCGAAGACAATATGGAGAGTACAGAAACTCGGGACCACATCATCAGTGCTGCGATCGTCAAGGTAGCAGTATGGAATCTGAGAAGGATTGCGATCGTGCAGAGAGGACGACGGAAGCTTCAAGAGAAAAGAAGACCGTGGAACTGACGAAGACGAAGACACCAGAGTGAAAACCAATATTCAAAGATGCAATACGCCAGCCCATCATAGTAGGGGCACTGCAAACAAGGGATCGTAAACAGGCCAAGCGGCCAAAAAGAACGGCACAGGATGAGACATGTACGCCATAATCATGGTGGTACGTTTCCGTGGCTGTGGCGTCGATATGAGATTGCTATTCGCTAAAAGGCGGCTAGAAGTCGGCCTCAAGGGATGCTACGACAAAGAGTTGTGTCTTTTGCAAGGGTTCAGTGACCTCATGTGATGATCGCAAGGGCGACAAAGGCCAACAAAGCTCATCTGTCTTGTATCTCCACTAGCCATGCATCTGGGAATGTGGCCACCGTACAATCTTCTTTTGAAACGGATCAGGCATCTGCTTTTGCATGTGCCCACTTGAACGCGTAATTTGAAGTTTGGCAATGGCTAAGGATGCGACCGCCCCGCCGCATCGTAAGACCAAGGACTACGTGCATGTAAGCGAAACAACATCCACTCATAGTCGATGGTACAACTTGAGGCGTTCATTCCCGCATCAGCAAAGGTTGACGGTACGCGTTCCTTACTCGCACGAGATGGAGGAGAATAAGACCCAGAGCAGAAAAGCACCGGAAGGTATTGAGTTTTTTTAACTGCTATTCACAGCTGAGATACAAGGAGAGGAGAGTTCCCAAAAATCGTACCATATGGTGATAACATAGCCCAATATGGCTTGGTATATTCCGCGCTGTTCGCTCGCATTAAATCATAAGCTGTCTACAGCGTCCATCATCAAAGTCGTATGCTGTGGCAGCCTGGGGTCATCGAGAAGGTTGCGCTCGTCAGTGTCGCTAACGACACCGCGTCGCACGCGACCTAATCTGTGTTGGGTTGTCCAGATGCAAAAGTGCAAAGCTGAGCTCTCAGCGGAGGCCCGGGTCGCCAAAACCGAATGGATCGTTGCTCGAGGAGCTATTGGACCCCGAAACATAGCCCGACGGTGCCGCAGATGCTTGTTTGCCAAACCCAGGGTCTGGCAAAGGATTCCAGACCGGAAAGCCCTCAGGCGGCTGACTCTCACCTAGTGGCTTACCGCGAGCATAGTCCACGAGACTGCCGTTGATGCCAGTAAGTGCCCAAGCAAAGACAGCGACATCGCGAATGCTCTGCATGAAGTTGTTCTGGAATTCCATAGACGGCCCTGCCTGCACCATGGCTGGGTGCCGAGCGCCAAGAGGGTATTGGGGCATTTGCTGCGGAGCAGGATGGAACACGGGCTGTGTTGCCCATGGCGCGGCGTAGATACCGTTGTATTGCTGTGCTGGCTGGGCCACGGGCATGGTGCCTGGCAACATTGGGCGGGCACGACGTAGACACACAACCAAGCCATCTGAGGTGCAGGATATGACAGCCTCAAGTTCGATGGGATCGTCGCGGATCTCGGAACGAGGCGAACTCACGGACGATAACGACGAGCGGGCAGCGGATCCACCGAACATAGCTTGGTGGGTATTGTTGGGGTTATTGTTCCCGCCAGAGTTGGTGCGCGACGCAGACCGCTCTTCACTGTTATCCGTGGTGCGGTTTGAGTCCGACGGATGTCTTGTGCCGTTGGATGTGGAATGGCCGTCGAGGTCAACTCCACCTTCGGATTCATCGTCGGAGCCCGTAACATCCGTCATGATGTCATCTTCGCTCTCAGACGAGGAAGCTTCAGGCGCATCGTCCTGGCGCGGGTCCCGGAAGAAAAAGCGCATGTATGCAATGGAATCGTTGCCTTTGGCCGATTCGAGACAGCGGACTGCATCTTCAAGACAATTGGGAGCAATGCAGTAATAGAAGCTGCGTCCCTTCATAGCCTCTCCGGAGATGCCAATAATCTGCTCGATTCCACTGGTTGCGTACATGACGGTCAGGGTACGCGTGAACCTGTTGAGAAACAAGGCAGCTCGCGGCTCATGAGTCTGATCATCGGGGCCGAGGTCAAACTTGCTGGACAGGTGAGACAACATGTGGTAGCGCGGGTCCTTTGGCGACGAGGCGAATAGCTTGCGCACTATAGGAGCCTCGACTGCGCGTTCTAATTGGCTAGGATTAGCATGACGCAGGGCCCAAACGGGTCAAAAGACTTACTTTGGCTCTGCATGCCATGTCTGTAGATGCTGGTGCAGCAAACGAGGACATCGTAGACGACGGAGAAGCAGCATTCACAACCGACCCATTCGCCCTGGCGGTTCTTCAGGCGGCAATAGGATAAGACAGCAGCCTTGTCCAGTCTTACGCCGCGGCTGTGGTGGGCCCTGGCCAGAGGGAGTTCCTCTGGATGAAAAAATTGCCACACGGACCGATTGACTACCTCGTCAGGCGTATGGCCGAGGATGTCGACAATGGAGTCGGAAGAGTACAAGATGTGGGCGTCATCAGAGAGGTCTGTCTGGGGTGAGAATTGGCTAGCAAATGGCAGGGTCGACGTGACAAACCGTGAATGGTGATGAAGGTGGTATCCATGGTAGCAAGAACGGGGGTGGTGGTCGTTCCTGCTCTACCGCACGCGCCCTGGTCTGTCGAATCTAATAACTCGGTCTGGGACGGGCGGTGGAAATAAGAACAAGTCGGGCAGTCGAGGCGAGGGACGACAGGCGGGTCAAATAGGCAGGGTCCAGGTGGCACAGAGGCGCACAGGTGCGGGTAAGGTGTCTAGAGGCCGTTCAGGCGGTGCGACCAGAGCACGGGGTGGGATGGGATGGGATGGGATGCAGATGGCAGGTCGAAACGTATACGAGTCAGGAGCTATGATGTAATGGGCGATCACGAAGCAGCAGGCGCCCCTCACCCGCGACAGGGCAGGCGCGGGCAGCAGCGAGGAAATATATGAGAAAGCTCGCGGACTTGGGCTGCCGGAAGGGGCTAGCAGCGAGCAGTTGGGTCGGGTGCATAAATAAATCAGCGGAGAAGGAGCGGAAGCGTGACGACGGCCAGAATGGCGGGACTGGAGGAGCGCCAACGGGCTCAGCAGCGTCTGTGTCGGCAGCAGGGCCAAAGAGAGGGCAGCGAGTAAGCAAGAGGACGGTTGCAACAGGTGGACGCGGTGGAGGATGCGACAGGCGGCGTGGCATGCAAGAGAGGTGCAGAAAGTGAGCTGACGAACTGCTCACCCTTGCCGCGCCCAAGGATCGACGCGAGACGTGTGCGCAACGGCGGTTAGCAGCTCGTCGGCAGCGGCGCGGGGCACCGGCAGTCGCCCTGCACCTCTGGTCGAAGGAGTGCGCATCAGGCCACTCGGGTCAGGACTCAGGACTGCCTCGAGTCGTGCCTCCGCGCGTTGCAGTTGCACACGCCGGGTGTGCTGAAGAGCCCAACTGTCAATCCATGCGACTGGCCTTGGCGCGCTCGACGTCGATGATGCATATCCATATCCATTCCATGGCCGCCCAGGTGCCTGCATGCAAACTTTAGCCTAGCGCCACCAGAGCAACCACGGCCAGCCTGCGAACTGCGAGCGGATGCCCCTCCGCCAGCTCTCTGGCAAACCTCCCGTGCCTACCCAGTGCGATTGCCGCTGCCCACAGCATCGCCCGGCCTGCGCGTCTCCTGCCTTGGTCGTCCCTGCCTGGTCGTCCCCGCCTGGTCGTCCCTGCCTTGGTCGCCCGGCACTGGGTCTAGCGGCGCGTGGTACGGACCTGTTACTTGTCATCCCAAGCCCTCAACCGAACAACATCATCGACGATCCTCCTGCCTACCCAAACTACGCCACAAGCCACATGCAAGACCCTCAAGGCCTCTTTCCACTGCTTCACCGTCCCCGCCTGCGCGCCCCCGCCTGATTGGCGGCACCACCTTCGTCCGCCTGCTGCTCGCCGCATGTCTCTCTTCCACCTGTTTGCTGCAAGTGATAGCTTAATTTCCATGACACTAAAAGCCCTGTCCCTCGCCCTCGCTTCTTTCTAACCCCCGATTGGCACACACAACCTTGCACTTGGGCTACCTCACGAGACCCGCGCCCTGCATATCAGCCATTACGGCTGTGCTTTCCGAGCTTTCCCATGGTATGCACGCCAAGATGGACTCCAACTTTGAACTGCCTTCGCTGAGGGCCACTTTGAGACTAGGCGTAACCCATGCCTCTCGTCCTGCGCGTAGCCACCACTAACTCCTCGACAGGCCCCAACCAAGTCTAGGCTGAGCTCTAGTGAGTCAGGAAGCATGCGCGTCAGCCGTCACTCCATGCAATACTCATCACGTTGCAGCTCAGTTCTACGATGTAGACTTCTATCCCTATACCGCCCCCGGCCAAGTCCCTGTTTTCGCCGTGTGCGGAGGTCCATTTGTATGTATCACGCTGTGTGCAGTCTGCCGTCTACTGATTGGCCAAGACCATCATATGTCGGTGTAAACTTGACAGCAACGGCACCGTCGAGATCCTGCGGTGGTTTGAAGATGACGAGGCCACTACTGAACACGGCACGTCCGACGATAAAGTAGGCACGTACCCTCTGTGCGCGACCTGTCTAACCATCACCAGGTCAACTACAACAGCATCGTATGGTCTCAGGCTGAAAATGGCGACCCGCTCGTCTGCGTCACAGGAGACTCTCGCATCAAGGTCTTGAATGTCCAGACCGGGGAGCTCACAGCAGTACGGGCCATATCACTGATTGCATTGCATCCACTGACCTTGCACTCAGACCCTGATAGGCCATGGCGATGTATGGATATCATCTGTCGTTTGCAGCGAGCTGCCTTCCTAACATCCTACAGTCTGTCAACGATCTCGCCATATCGCCCATAGACCCGACCATTCTCGCCTCCGTGAGCATTGACCATAGTCTCCGAATATGGAGCCTTCACCCCGACCACGAAAAGCAGCCCCTCGGAGCCATCTGTTACGGGCAAGGCCATAAGGACCAGGTGCTTACCATTGTGTGTTACCTGCAAATATGCCCAATTAATATACTGATATTGGCAGGCATACCACCCGAAAGGCCGGTACATCCTAACAGCGGGTATGGATACCAGGATCAATTTGGTAGGATGCACCACCCCGGCCTACTGACTGCTTGAGAATGCTCTGACAAGTCCAGTGGGCAGTACCCGAAGACCTCAAAGAACACGCTGGCACCGACAAGCCGGCCATAGTGCACTATCCGCACTTTTCCACTACCGAGATACACACTGACTTCATCGACTGGTAATGATCCCCTTTTGAAACCGACCTACAGTTGCTTACTTCATGCAGTGTTCAATGGTATGGTGACTTGATCCTCAGTCACGCATGTCGCGAGAACAAGATTATACTTTGGGGTATCGATCGATTCAATTCCAATCGGTCTACGCCTCCTCCGCCAGTCCCCACATCGAGCGCGGTCCACAGTAGAACCCCTGTAACAATTCCCGCGAACTCGACCTCAAATACACGGTCTGCATGGGGCGGACGCTTCCAGAGACTTCTGCAATTCGACTTGCCGCACACGAACCAGTTCTACATTCGCTTCTCTGTCTTTCACGAGCTTGGCCGCCATCCGATTCTAGTTGCGGGCAACGAGAGAAGCAAGACCTTCTTTTGGGACTTACAGCGACTAGAGAAATCGGGTACCGGAGAAGATGAATCCCTGACTTCGAAAGGCTTACCGCTCAGCCTACCTAGACACGTGCGCGAAGGAAGCTCGGCATCTACTGCCTCGTCTGCTATCAGTACAGGCTCGGGTAATACCAAGACCAAACAGAAGCGGCAGAACGAGCAGTCTCACGATCGAGGCATATCCGACCCCTTTCGCTCGATCAAAGCACACAAGATTGTCGAGACTCCAAAGTACAAAGCCTTCGCGTTCCGTCACTTCGCCTGGAGCCGTGATGGTCAATGGTGCGTCGGCGCCGGTGACTGTGGGACCATCAATATATTCAGCCGTTGGGATTCTCTTCCTCCAATCGACACAGACAGGGAAATCCCTACACAGGAGGATGACGGCCTACAGATCAGTCAGTCCAACCGCACACCAACATCAGCCGCGCGCACGGCCGATGTCGAACTCAGTACGAGCATCAACTGACATGGTATGAGCAGACAAAGACATGATCACGGACTCGCTGGACGGCCTCTGTGAAGCTCATGCTCTCCGGCAACAGATGGCGGCAGATCAAGGTGAACCTTTTGACGAAGACTTGCGACCTCTTCTCGATGAGTATGTGTCCAGCTTGCCAAGTCACGAGAGAGATTTCGCACGTTCAATATGCGAGCGGTGATCCAGACTGCGAAGCAAACAGCTGAATACGTGCGGACGGCTATGCACGCGGGCCCATAACACAACCACACATATCCGAACGCGACCGTGGAACTTACTCGTAGGCACGGTCTCAGCTATTGTGACTCACGATGACGGCAGCATACGCAGAGGAGACGATTAATATACTGTCATTGAGTCACAATAGCTAATTCACATTAAGGGATGTGCATTCCGGGGGTGACAATACGAAAGAAGTGGAGACGAAATGCTGGTGAGAGCAAGATCACAATAGGGTCGCATGCAGCCAACCACGTACTAGTGGTTCGTCACCCCAACAATACCAAACAAAAATCTCCCGTCTTGAATACTGTCCCCTTTCACAAGCATCCTTCCATCTCTAACACTATTTCCCAAACATTGCACTGTCTACCAACTCCATCACAACGTACTGGAACCTTTCGTAGAGTACCGACCACACCTCCCAGCGCTATCACAGAAAAGAAACACCACCACGCACAGTTTTCGGCAAGTCACTACACCCAAGCAGCTCGAAATCAATCATGCACGCTTGCAACACGCCAAACTCAACCGATTCCGCATCATCCACCATGTCGACTCCCACCACCGTGTCTCCAGACCGCGTCGCGGTCATTCCCTCAACGATTGCAGAGCCCGTACCGCGCGAGAACTCCGTTCTCTGTGGGCACACAGGCTGCACGCGTAGCTTTCCAAGGGATTCAAACATAGCTGCCGGTCACAACGGCGATTACCTCTGCGCTCTACATTGGCTCGATCTATTTGATGCATGCCATGAGTTCTACAATGACTGGTGGAACTATGGCAATGTCCAACGGGGAGCCTCGCCAAATTACACGCCTGAAGGATGAGTGCGAAATTAAGGTGGAGAGGAAGAGAGCAGGAAACCAGCGACGCAGTTTGAGGGGCCCACACAAAACCTCATCAGCAACAGTCACACCCTCCACGCTCATTCTTAGTCTACTGCTGCGACGGGTACTTGCCATGGTCATGGAGAACTCGGAAACTTAGACAAAATGAAAACCCCCAATTCCCACACTGTCGCGAGTGCGCAGCGCCGCGTCGTCGAGCACATCGGTGAGCGCAGAAACCCCCCACGCAAGCCAGCCCCAAAAAGGGTCTGCAATGTGCGCAGCGCTTGCCGCAAACGCGACCAAATATACGGCACAGCTGCAGCCCGCGCCAAAATCGATACCGGTAGCCCTGCCGGAGAAAGAAACAAAAACACAGGAACGCGTTGGCCTTGCGCAGGGGCAGCAAGGCTTGCCGGGCATGTATTGTTTGGTACTACTTGCTTTTTTCGCAACACGTGGGCGCTACCGAACTGTTTTATTTGGACTGTCGCGTACTGCGCTTGCTGCAAGACAACGATGCATCATCTTTGTGTTTTCGAAGGACGTACAATACTCGCGTCGAAGGAAGCTGCAGGACAGCCATGGACGACTAGGCGAGCGAACAAAGCGACAAGTAGCTCAAAAACACGGAGTAAAGTCTGTTTGCTCGCCCATACCACGAGTAGGGGCTTTGTCTGCGTCGAGACTTCAGGCGACGAACAAAGGAGGCAAGACAGTACGAGAGAGAGAGAGATGGTGTCTTTGAAACACGTCTGTCTCTTGGAGTAACTCTGCGATAAGGACGTTGCCATGTACAAAAACGAAAAACATACATTGTACTGAGTCGGAAGACGAGCAGTCCGAAGTAGCAGACATGTCTTCTCCATCATCTTTATCGTCATCATCAACAGCAGCAGAACTGAACATCGCATGTGCATGCACAGAGTGTACAAGTTTCCTCCGTCCAATCTTCCCTTCGGACTCACACTACCCACGAGACTTCTCACAATTCATCTTTCCACTCGCTTCTACCTCTCAAGAGCCACCGTCATTATGGATTGACAAGCTATCGTTGGCAGCATACGACATGCAGACCGCCAGCCCAACATCAGGATCGCAAACCTCCGATAATACCAGTCACCGCAAGCGACGCAGCCTCGCTATTTTCACAGAAGGTCCCGGGACCGACATACGCAGTGCCTTTCCAAAGACACCGGGGACCTTGCGCTGCTCGAATATCCATTGCAGCACCCGTCTCCCTATCAGCTCAGCGTCAGCTGCTACAGCACGGTTCCCCGCAGGTCCATTGTGTGCAGAGCACGAGGAGCAAGCTGTTCGAGAAGGACAAGATGCGGCTCCTCTCGAGAGCATTCGCAAGTTGGACCAAGTCTGCGGAAGCAACTACGGGGTCAGAGTTAGTCGGTCGAGCTTGGGTAGCAGGAGTAATAGTTCAGCTTCCTGGAGCAGTTTGGCTTCGTGGGAAGGTGACGATGTGGAGTTTGAATGGGGTGCAAAGGCATTCGATTCGAAGCTTTGCTGGTGAGTTGCACTTTTCATCGCTGCCGCTATTGATCCATGGGAACTTTTTGGCATTGGATGTGTCGCTAGTATTGCGGACGTCGTTAGTAACTCGTCGCATATGAGTTGTTGGTGAGCTATCGCAGCACTGTAGGATGGCGATGGTACTAGAGTTTGAAATGGGCAAATCAAGCTTTGCCTCGTTTTGAGCAGATGATAAATGGCATTATTAGCCTTGAAATCGACTAGCAAAGAAGATAAGTTTTCTCAAAAGACGTATGCACACCATGTGGCGTGAAAAGCGAACTAAAAAGTTGGATGAATGAATGGATTCGCACTTTCCCAATGAACGCTGGTATATAGCATGAGCTGAAGCTGCCACGAGTAGGAAGTGTTTCATCGACATAAGGCACGGTGATGTTTTGAGCACCTAAACTTCGCATTCATGTATCAAACGAGATAGTCGAACTCGTCGTATACATCGTATTGGGTCTCACTACCCATCTCATGCATCCACTGCATGTGTTCGGCGACCATTTCGTCGAACGAATAATCCGGGAGTGAGTCTTCAAGCCATGCTTGCTGCAATGACGTATCACAAAGGTACAGGTGCCGATATAGCTCCTGTTCATAGGCCTTGTCTTCATCCTCATCGGGCGCCATGATCCAGCCATCGCCTACTCCGGTCGCAGCCAGCTCATCCCCCTCGTCAATTAGCGCTGTGATCCAGACGTCTTCTCTCTCGAAATAGGATCTAGAGTTCTTTCTGTGGCCATAGCGGCGACCTGTCTGGGCATGGCGATAAGGCTGCCTGGCGTATTGTGGGGGAGCTGAGAGAGAGCCACCCGTTTTGGTGTGGAAGGAGCGGTGTGCGGCTGTGCTGCTGCGAGTCGCAGAAACGCCTAGCCCATCGATTGCGATTCGTTCCCCTGGAAAATCTGGAACAAACGAAAATGTGGAAATGTGACCCGAAGAGGTCCCGAGACGCTGGTTTGCTGAGTCAGTCTCGCTTATCCACAGATCGTATTCGTCGTCGTTGTGGTCAAACTCAATATCAAAGAACTCAAATCGGCAGAGTGGGCATGTTCGCTTGGTTTGCATCCACTCCGCAATGCAAGCGTCACCAAAAACATGCCCACAAGGTAGCTGGAGCGGCACCTCGGCATATTCGTCTCTGGTAGACGTGTAGTAAGGGTCTAAACATATGCAACACCGCTGTGGCTCGTCTGGGCCCACTCTCACCGGTGCATACGCTTGACGTCTTTCTTGGTGTCTGTGGCTGGGCATGTCTGAGTAGGAAGCTGGGGTCCAATAAGGCTGGCTGATTCATGAAATTTCCACTTGGCGTGAACGCGATCGTCTGGTACCAGCCTAAAGGTACCAGAGGAACAAAGGCGGGGGTGAAGTAAGACCCTAACGCCGGTCGTTGTACATGGAGCTTCGCGTTTCATACCATACATTCTCTAGAGGACGAGTACCATGGTACACTGTGCGGAGCACAACGTGCCGCACTTTCCGATCGAACGTCTCTTAGTCAATTGCGAACAGTGCTCTTTCTTTACGGGCATGTGCCATTGTCAGGCCATTGTTTGAGACCAGCCTCGCATCAGTGATCTCGGCAGTTACACGTGGACATTTGCTCGCTTCTGAGCCTCCACAAAAGACTAGCATCATGCAAGTGACGCTGCTTGGTTGTACATGCATGACAACCAGCATCGGCTTCACCGTCGACTTCATCCTCGCTGTTTTGCTGTTGTGGAGTAGCTCCGCATCTCAGCTCGCCTCTGGAAAAAGCCACCGCGACAGGCTTTAGGGTCTAGTCGGACATTTTGCGTAGTGGACGCGGCGTCTAGATCCGCGGAGTAATGTGTGCCAAGTCTGTACAACACGCGGCACTGGTCGAGGACTTGTGTCGGGTTTAACTCAGGATACCGAAGAAACGTCTTCAGGGTAATGGCATTGTCAGGATTCATGTGGGGTGGCTAATGTCTCCGACTGCACGGTTGGCAGCTAAGCTCTGATGTTTCCATGGTTCTGAAAATCCGCGAGCCAGTTAGTTGGTTTAAGCGGAACCGGCAGCAATTCGGAAACGCGGTATCGGTAACAGGTCCTGTCGATGACCCCAAACTGGCAGGTCAAATGACTAGGAAGATAGCGTTTGCCATGGAAAAGGGCTGTGAATTCTGTGCACTGACGGGGGTGAGCACCCCAGACCAATATTGACAGCTCCACGCCAGCCTCGTGGCGTGGGAGGCGTGCGCTCACCGGCCGTTTTTGGGTTCGACGCCTTGCCAGAAACGCCGCAATTGGCATCCGCATACTGGGGCTTTATCAGTGTGCCGAATATAGCGCATCTTAGCGTAGGTGAAAGTTTGGTAGACACTATACTCCCCTCGACGTTGGCAGGCGTCAGTGTCGCCAACCGACTCTCTGGAACGATATCGATGAGCGACTCATAGGAAGACAGAGCTGTCGTCATGTAAGGGTGTTGTTGAGGATTTCTCGAAACTGCAGAAGCCAGCATGCTAGCGTTATCGAGAGTGGGGCCCGCTTGGCCGCTCTGGTCGCGCTAGCCGATCTTGCTGTTGGTGGTGCGGGAACGGTGCCTGAATGCCAACACGTTTGTGGAAATTGGCTTGATCTATCTCCCGTCTCATCCAGACTTCGCTAAAGGAGATCAGCACGGCGACGCAACTGACAAGGGGCCCGCTCGTGCGTCAAGCTTTAGCCTCAGGCGCTCTCCCGTCACTATTTCGGGTTGTTTATGGGCACCCGGCACTCTTCCTGGGCTCTTCGGTGGACGCGATCTATGCGGCGCTTCACCACACTTGTGGCTTGCGATCGTATCACTTCTCAATAACATCCCTTGCTCCACCCATGCTTACTGCGATACGGTGCTTTTCGGACACGACGAGGCTACAAGCCACCAGACAGCGGCGTACGGCTGGAACTTGCATCGTGGTACCAAAACGTCCATTCTGGTCCATCAGAGTCGACACGCTCGCGATGCTGGGCCCGATGTGGTCAAGTTCTCGAGCCTCACCACAACGCGCCCAGCTGAATACGTTCCGCCAAGCGCTATCGAGCGGCGTTAGCAACAACAGCGGCTTGCAACTAACAATACAGGTCTCGGCTAAATCATGCCCCATGTATTCCATGATGATGTCTTGGCAATGTATAAGTAAGACGTCTCTGCTCGTCAGTTGAAGATCCTCATCCACAGCAGCACTCAGCAAGCTTCACTGGCATCTCATCAGCACTATCCTTCTCGATCACCAACTCCTCCAACCAACCTTCAACATGCGTAACGTTCTTCTCGCTACTTCCGCCCTCAGTGGCCTAGCTGCTGCCCTACCCCAGATGATCAACATCGAGGCTGCTTTGGCCGTCCCCACTCCCACCGTTCTTGGACCCAAGGCCGAGGAGACTGCTGAGCTTCCAGTGTCTTACAACCAAGCTGCTGCTGCCGCGTCTGCTGCTGCGGTAGTTGCTACAAGTGGTGCAGAGCTCAAGAAGCGTGATGCCTGCCAGGCTCAGCCTTCTGGGTACGTTGTTGTGCTGAACACCTTTACTGCAGAGTGACTGACAATCGACACAGTGCCGGTGCCGAGTATGTTCCTGGACAGGGCTCCGTTGATGAATACCTGAACAAAGAGAACTCTCTCCGGAAAGCTGCCCAAACCGCAGGCACTCCCGACGGTTACACCAAGGCCTTTACCGATCTTAACGGGTCCACCGAACAGATTGGCTACTTGACCTATAAGACTCTCGACACTTACAGCCCCGACGAGTGTGCCGCGTTCTGCAACAGCGAGAAGTACTGTCTTGGTTTCAACCTCTTCTTCGAGCGCGACCCCAGCGTCGACCCCGGTGAGGGATGCAGCGACCCAGCGCCCGTCACAAACATCAAGTGCTCAATCTACGGATACCCCGTGGCTGAGGCATCGGCCACAAACCAGGGCCAGTACCGTGGTGACTTCCACGTTGTTATCACTGGCAGCAACGGTAAGCTTTCTAACCCTGCTCATCGCCCTGAGTACTCCTTACTGACATATAGTCAGGTTACTCCAAGGCCGGCAAAGGAGTCTGCAAGCCCGCCCCTACCGTCGAGGGCTTCAACGCTCCCGCCAACCTCCCCGCTGCCATCAACGCTCCCTTGATCAAGAAGGACGACAAGGACTACGACACCTACAACGGAATGCGTCTCTTCAACACCAACCCCTACGACCCCAGCCTTTGCGCTGCAGCTTGCGAGTCGCAGACCCAGTTCGACAAGGAGCACCTTGCTGACGCCAACGGCGAATACAAGCCTTGCAACTTCTTCACCTCTTACATCTTGACCAAGAACGGTGTTCCTCTCGGTACTTACTGCGCACTTTACACTCAGTACTGGGATGAAAGCTATGCCGTCAACACTGGCTACTACTACGGCGACGATGAATACTCCGTCATCTGCGCTGCTTCTTACACCGATAGCACACCTGACTCTGGAAAGAACTAGGCGTAAGCTCCTGCGGCTTCTTGTTAGGGGATAAAGCAAGTATGTCGTGATCTGTTGGAGGATAGAGTGTCTTGAGCTTCTTTATTGTTAGCTTAATGTTCTAATCTAATCGCTATGCCAAAACATCTGCTTTCGTGCTTGCTTCGGCATCTGAACGAAGTTTTTTGTCATTGCTTTGACCAAGTCTATGTGCTGATCTTTGATGCGAAACAGCTTTGGTGCGATTTGGTATACTGCTTGACAATCATATCCCAGTCTACTTCCAGTCGCCCCGGAGCAACTCAACAGACACGAAGAACCACAGGGGATACTTGATGTTCCTTGCTTAATAATCCTGATCGTGGCTGTGGCGACGGTTGGCTGGGTTTTTAGGCCCTTTCCACCCGGCACTAGTTTCTGAGATCGTGGATGTCAGAACGTCAGAATGCACGACCACTCCGCAACTCTTTTCCGAACTTGCCAAGCCTTGATGTACAGCTTTCTCCACATGTACGATGATGACAATTCATGAGATTGTAAAGCAATTGCAATACCTGCACTGAATTCTGGCTAGTGTGTGGATTTCGGCAGCCATCCTCCTAAATCGCGGTTGGGTACAGGATCAGCGGTAACTCAGATGCTGAATAATAACTAGATTGCTAATGGAAGGATGGTATAGTGGAAGTACATAAAGAGATGCGTCGCTGAAGAGGAAATATGTCAACCAGCCCTCGATCAACTTCGACTCTCAGCATCCACACGCACGCAGCACGAAAGCTTACAGTCACTCACTGATATCTCATTTCGACATCCATCTCTCGCCCATATTGTTCTGTCAGTATAGTTTGAGAACATGTCCTCACAACCCAGCGTCGTCATTGTTCCGGGCAGTTTCTGCCCTACCAGCATGTACGACCCTCTCGTAATGCCGCTTCGTGCCAAAGGCTACGATATCCACGTTCTTGAACCACCCTGCTATCCTGCTGGCTACAAAGCCAACTCGGTCACTCAACCAAGCATGTATGACGACGCGGCTTACGTCAACGAGTTTGTGAGAAAGCTTGCAGACAGTGGAAAGGAAGTCATCCTACTTGCGCATAGCTATGGTGGTAAGTCCTAGATCTTTCATACCTTTTCTGACAGATGAAGGAATGACTAATGCCAATGTCATATAGGTTGCCCAGCCACCGAGGGTACCAAAGACGTAACGAAAAAAGAGCGAGTGCATCAGGGCAGGACTGGTGGTGTGGTACGCCTTGCGTATCTCACAGCCGCCGTACCACGTATCGGTGAATCCTGCGGTCAGGCCCTTGCACGCGAACAGAGTGCTCCAATCGAGGTCGATGAAAACGGATGGGTAACGCAGTCCGATCCTGCAGCTACAGCGTCACTTTGCTTCAACAACCTCACGCTGGAAGACGGCATTTCGTACGTTGCAAAGTTTGGCAAGCATCACGGTGCTTGTTTCGGTGACGTACTTACCCACGCTGGCTACAAAGATGTTCCTGTATCTTGGTTCTTCGCAGAGGAAGACCTTATTGTTGTTCCAAAGGCACAGCAGGCTGCCATTGATGTTATCGAGGGAAGTTGGGTCGGTACAGAGAGGGATGGGATGAAGGTGGATGTTAACAAGGTGGCCTGCGACCACTTTCCCCTCGTTCTTGACGAGAAGAGAGAGCAAGTGAGTGTTTGGATTGAGGGCCTTGTCGAGAAAGGAGGCCGTGAATAGCTACACGTGGCGGGTCTTTACCGCAGTGGAAAGGAATAAGCTCCAATGCTTGGGCAACTGGCTTCTGGATATGTCAATCGGATGTGCTTGTACGGTGTATATATAGCGTAGCATATCATCTCAAAGAAAGTTCTTGCCCCATCTTCATCTCTATCAATGACCTCTTCTGTATGTCACAGACGGGCGCACCAAGGTGCTGAGACGGTGCCTCAAACATCTAATCCCAATCTCCATGGTCCTTGAACTGCAAGTATACTCAACTTGCCACAAGTACCGTGAGAAAGATTGCTCTTCGTTCTCCTGGCGATGTATGCACAGGCTCTCCTACAGACGAAGCAGCTAGACTGAGTGGCTGTGTGACGGAGTTATGGGAAGCTGAAACTGGCTCACGGGAATCTGCCTCGATGCGGTATGGGGGTAAGATAGCATTAGTGTGGTGTTGAGTATACCTAACACACGGGATATTTTGTCGCTCGCATGTCTATGCAAAGATTAAGCACACTTGTAAGCTGACGAAAGTTCCGAAGATCTGGGGTGCTTCTTAGACACACCTCAGGCAATGTTCATTTGCGTATAGCATGGGGATTAAACGACTAACCCCAAGATATGCGCGCACCTGACCTCTTTTTGACTTTCATTGCCGCCAGCTTTTGTCACCAATACGCACCGTCGCAGAGCGCTTATCAGATAGTGCTGAGACGTAAGCACCTGCTTGATGGGGATGCCTTGAACAGTGCAATGTTCCGAGGCAACAAGGCGGAGCCAGGCGTTTGATCTGAGAACCAACAAGGCATGAACGCATATAACTGAAACAAAGAGTCGATGCCTTGGGATGGATACGCAGCAAAACAAGGTGCTCAGCGTGTTGAAGATGCGAAAACAAGATCTGGAACTTTGCGGCGTATTCTGGAAGGTTGACTTAATGCGCTTCTATCGTGCTGAATGTGATAAGAAATACCCTGCTGTCCTCGATTGGTAAATGCCTTGCCTTCGCAACGTGAAGATGATTTGCGCGACAATACGAGTCGCCGCTCCCGACCTCAGTGTATAGCTATCGCAACATGCTCGTTCGAGATGAATGAAGAACCACGCATTTCCGCTATCCGCGCCACACTAAGCAAATGATTCCGAGTTCCGTCTCGTCCCTGTTTTCGTGAACTCTAGCAAGCGGGATGTCGGTATCTGGGTGTCGTTTCAACACCAACTTGTAACCGATGGTGCGGCAGAAATGCGAAACAAGCCCGCATTAACACCATCGCCTTGGGCCACCCACCTAATTAATACACGGTCAACGCTGTCGACTTCATATAAGGAACTGGCGTAGTTAGCACGCTTGAAGTTGCATGACTATCCCATTGCTCAATCAATTCGAATCCAATCAACGAAAAACCAATCATTCGCCTTCTTTCTGCTTGTGAAAGGCCCCACGATCGTTACCGCTAAGCCTCCCTTACTCTAAACATGCGCTTCACTATTGCAATTGTCGGTGCTGTGGTAGCGACCGTTGCTGTTGCGTCACCCATCACATCGTCGTCCCCTCTATCGCGGAGACAGGGACCTCCGGGGCCCAAGGGACCCATGGGAGGACCTATGGGACCGGGTGCTGGTGTCGCTGGAGCAGGACCTTGTCCGGTATGTTGCACACTCACCATTATATGTCATAGAGAGAATGTGTGCTGATTGCGTGCGCAGATGAACTGTTGGAACGAAGCCGCAGTGGTAGCAGGGTGCGACCCCAACGCAGACGACAGCTGTCTGTGCGGGCCTTTCTTCGATGCCGTAACGTCGTGTTCAGCGGCGACATGTAGTATGGGCGAGAACCTTGGTACGTTTCCCTTATTCCTGTCCGCACCTTTGGATGCGAATGTGCTAACATATGCAACAGCAGCGTTGAGCTTTTTGAACCCTGCTTGCGAGTAATGAGGAGGAACAGTTCGCCGCAGATGACGATGTGTATGATAATGAGCGTATCGTGGGCTCCGAATATATCCAACAGAAATGAACAGACTGTCGATTACGTGCGACGTTGAGGTCAGATGTATGCCGTACGTAAGAGAACGGAGAACTCAGAACCAGTCGCTTTCTTTCTTACAGTCCTCCAATGAACGATTTCATGAAAGAACGAAAATATGTTTCCACCCCAAAGTGCAGCGATAATCAACAGGTGTTGTGGTTTCTGTGCAAGAATTCATCCTGCTCCTGAGAACCCTCAGCTGGGTCTTTGGCCAGGGTGAAGGGAAGGCGATGGTACATAGGCCGACCCAAGCCGAGTCGCCTCGAAGATCTTCCTCTTTCTGCATGTCTCAACATGTTGTCCCAATGTCTGGCAAAGCGCCGACAAAGCAATCCGAAAGACCAGCATCAGAAGTGGATGACGCGTCTATCTGCGCTTGGCAAATACTAAACTCGAGACAGTCAATCCTTGCCGAGAGCATGAGCCCAAATCACTTCACAAAAGCGTGAGATTGGGGATTGTCGCACTGCATCGTGAGTTTCGGAAAAACTTCGCAATCATCTCCCGGGCATCCAGAAAGAGAAATCCTTCCTCATCTTTTTCGGATACGACTTGAGTCAGCGTCACTTTATCGTCTCCACATCTTCTGTATCGACTTTCCTTTTCAGCCACCGGAACTTCATTTTCGCGCGACACACATCGCTTGCGGCTCACATATATCCTGGAGACGAGATCGCCGAGACAGATGCAGCGCCGTTGTCGTCCCCACAGACCCTGAAAGTCCTGCACGTGGGTGCCATTTGAGCCGCAAAGCAATACCGGACCCATGCTCAACCCTGGTCGACGTGTCCGCACTACTGTTCTAGGTCAAGAGTGTCCCGAAAAGGATGAATTCAACGCGGTACATCGCGAGGAGGTATTTCACCCGCAAAAGTTGGTGGCGTTGTACTTAGCCCGAGGTACTGTCATGTCTCAAGTTCTTCCGGCCACTCTCAAAAACAGAGAGAAGAAAATCAGAATTCTTCCGCGTTTGGACCCGCGGTATCTCGGACCGGCATAATTACGCGTCTTAACTTGTCTGGGGAAGCCCCTTGCTTGAACGGCTGGAGAGTTGGAGAGGTTCGAGACCTCGACATTTGCGGCGTGGGGGTCATTTTCACATGTCGGGGGACTGTAAGCTTCTGAAGACACTGTTGAGCTCCGAGATGGTGATGCCTATACTAGTGATGATGATCTGACGACATGCAGTCATCTTGACAATATGCCTTGCCTTACCTCTACACCTCACAGTATCGTAGCAGTAGATTGCATGTGCAGCGAGACACGCCGCCATCATGTCACGGTCGGACCATCTCGAACCACCGACGTGTCGTCCAGAAATACTTTGGTACATTGCCCCTCCTCAATTAATTTGAAGAAGTGGTAGCTTGGTCGCTTGGAACATGCGTTGAGCAATCTATCCCAATGTACACCCATTCTCTCGGGTATCCGCGACATTGGTCGGGTAAATACGAATCTAGATTAAACGATTATGTGTAGCGTTGCGCCTTGATGCGCCGCAGAAGTCGGTTATTGAGATAAGAACAGCGGTAGGAGCTAATCGGACGTATATGGTCCGCGATGCACATGCGATGCGCGGTCGCTTAGAGCAGCGTGCATGCAATGGCAAGACTCCGGAGACAGCTGTCAGACTGTTGCCTTGATTCTTGACGGTATGTGAGAATCAGGCTGCGTCATCGTGAAGTCAGTCCAAGACTTGCGATCCTGGCATCTAGCGTGTTATGATAGTTGCGTAGTGTCCTTCTGTGCGGCTTGGTAGGCGGTAGAAACGGCTGTCACGGGACTACACATCTGCGATATGGAGTGCAGAAACCCTTCATCGCTATGCCGGAGATGTACCCTCAACTCGCATGTGAGGGCATTGGATGGTTCGCGAACGAGCGGCCCAAGCTGCAAAGCATCTGTGCATTGCCCTTGCGCAGGGCACCGGAAGCAATATATATTACCGTCTAGATAGAACCGATCTGCGGAATAAAGTGTTTGCGTGGACCTGGTTGCGGTCGCTTAAGTACAGTACCAGCAGCCTGGTACGGCACAGTGTTGGGTTTAAATGAGAGAGCGTTGTGCTAGATCCTGCATCTCGTATGCTGTGTAAGTGCGGCTGGCCTCAACGAGCACTCTGGAAACCATATTTCAAACCTTTGAGGGTAATGTTGCCCCTGCATGGACGAAGGTTGAGTCCAAAAGGATTATTCGACGCAGAAAACGTGCGACGAACTTTCGTTACCCTCGGCTGACACGGGGCAAGGGCGAACGGAAGGACTCTGGCGTGTGAGACCGACAATGAAACTCCCCCGGATGATTTCGATAACGAGAACCGCGACTGAGCATATCTCACTTGGCTCAGTTCTGCTTGGCTTGGAGCCGCATCGGATCGGAGAGGATGCCGGTTGTGACGATGCTAGGCAAGGGATGCGTCCGACTGCATGAGACAGGAACGCACAATTGGCGGAAACCCAGCTGTATCGGGAAGTATATGCGATGATCGAGATGTGGAGAAGGGGTCCTCTCCACAGTCCACGACACCTCGTTCTCCTCTCTGACTGGTGCATTTACTGTCGGCAAACTGCATTCCTCGACGCGAGTACGTTTTCATGAGTGATCCACCCCCAAGATACTTTGTGTGTGACTCGCATGTCGCCAGCCTTATCCGCCGCGATTTCCTGCTCAGGCAGGTCCGGATTGCCAGTGTGGAGACCCCACAAGTAAGCGATTCTGGTACTTAGGATGGATTCGCGGCCTGGATGGGCAGCTCTAGAAGCTCGCTAGACGCCCTTTGCTATGCGGTCCCGAGTCAGCAAGCAAGGGGCGGGAAGGCTTAGTAGAGTGTGGTATTTGTCCCGCCGGCTGTGTTCTCTGGGGTGAATGGACGAGTACCCTCGGAGCCGGTTGCTGCTAACGTCGCGCGGCTGACTGAGACAGTTTTATGGGACAGAAGTTTGTCTTCCCCTTTGTTGTGCGTTATCTTTGCTTTTCTGGGCTGACA